GTCCCGCGTTTTCCTCGTCCGTCCCCTCTCCCGCGGGAAGGAGTCGGTTTCTGATGCGGAAGGTGGCAAACTTCGCGTCGATCGCCTGGCCCGTCGCCGTATCGATGCGAACGTGTTTTGTGTAACGCGCATAAATAATCCTGGCTTTGGAAGGCAGGCGGGGTAAGCGGAGTATTTTTGGAGGGAGCAAATGGAAATCCAGCGCGATCGAGGCGATGCGCGGTGTGTTTAAAGGCAGTGAGAGCGATTTTGGTGTGCACTTTAGCAGCATTGTCAGAAAACGGCTTATGGTCTCGCAAGTGTTTTGTGGAGGAGTCACGGGACTTTCGCTGTGTTCTGGTAGTGACATCCTTATGTACAAACGTTGGGTTTGTATATTTCTTAGTCTGCTGATAAATTTACGTACTTGACTCGAAAATGACCTGCTTGCTTCTCCTTCGGGCCTTTGTTATTCAGCCTACCCCACATATTAATTGGAACTCCCTTTGTTATCCCCGAGCCCTGAACCAGAGGGTCAGGTCAGATCCCTCAGGAGAGCTGAAGGCAGAGTAATAGATTTTGTCTGTAAAGGAAGGAATAAGAATTGCCCAAGTTTGCTACAAGCTGGGGCTGGATGTAGTTTTTGCGGACACCAGAAGGATTGAGAACCAGGCCTTCGGCTGTGTGTGAATTGTCCTTTTACTGATTTCAGCATTCTCCTTACATGCACAGGAGGTGAAAAGTTTCAACTCCAAATCTGTATGAAATGAAACTTGGAAGAAAAGCAGTTCCTTAGAGGGATTGACCTGTGTGGCCAATCTAGCTGTGCTAAAACAAGAGCTGTCCAAGGCACTGACATTATTTGTTAGAAGTTGAAAGAAGCTTCGGTTTACCTGCACTGATACACTCGGGGGAAAAAAGACTGTTAAGGGTGCAGTTGTCCAGTCTGTGGCCTCTGAAGGCAAAGCTAAATACTAACACTTTGGTCGCAATTCTAAAGGCTGTGTTGTGTTATTTAAACATCTGTAGGTTGCCAATTACAAAACAAAGCCCTGTAAACTGCAAAACATGATACATGCTGCTGTGGTAGGAGGTGAATTTAGCATGTGGCAATACCTGTGTGTGAACCACAGCCTCAACCCCATGGCATAAACCAACTCAAGTTGCCTGCAGACAAATCCCTGTCATTCCCCAACCACCGAGGTTCCCTGGATGGTTCTGTAAGCATAGTCAGTGCTGACAGGGTGTGCTATGGAAAGCCACTGTCAGCCTGTACAGATTACAGCACCCATGCTGGGTCGGTAAGCTGTTGTGATGGGAGGGAATCCACCGAGTTACCTTTCTTTCACCCGTTACTGAAAGGCTTAGTGAACTCTGTAAGGCGCAGCTGTAATGGCTGCAGGAAGCACAGAGCTTTACCTGGACCCTGTGCATCATTCTGCACTTGGCAGTTGAGTTGCACTGCTTGGTCTTATGAAAAATACAAGGGTTTAGCCTACAGAGGATATGGTTCCTCACCTTTAAGAAAAAAGAGCAAAACCCCATAACATACATTTTTTTCCCCTCATGTTACCTTTTGCACATGAAAGGATGCTAGTTCTAGCAACTAAAAGTTAAGCATGAACACCAAAAGCCAATTTTACTTCAGCACAGTCTAGTTTCTAAAGTGCTGCTACTTGTGGTGCCAAATCTAGGTTGCCTCTAAACAGAGTAATGACAACTCAAACTGCTATAAGTCTATAGTTAGATAAAAAGACTCCAGTGCTTTTAAAAGCGTAGTTTGTTACCTTGGAAACTCTGAAAATAGAAAATACAGTCGTGTTATTAATGTTTTCATTTGAAGTGAAGCATTTGAAATAAGCCTTATTGCCCGATGCACTGTTTTGTTTGTTAGCTTCACTTGTATTATGCCTCACTAGTATTTAGTTCTTTGAGATGGATATCCTCCTTCAGAGGATATTTTGTGTGGGAAAGTGAGCAGGGAAGAACTGTGTAGGCCTTTTTGGAAGTAAAGACTAATAGTAGAGAGATGCCTGTAGTACTGATGAAGATAGAAGTAGATTCAGTAACTAAGCAGGAAGAAGTGCACAACGTAGGAGCTAAGGCAAGTCCAAAGTCCCATCTGTTGTATGTGACTGTTACTGGAGGTCATAGATACCTGGTTTAAATTTTGCAGCTTGTTCTTAGAACTAACATTTTTAGAGCCATTTGACCAAAATTAAAACAACTCAAGTATTTTGATTTTGCTGCTTTATCCTCTGATGAATTCTTTCAGAGCAGTAAGATTGACCCTGGGCTCTTTGTGAAAACTGAGCGGGCAGTACTTGATAATCAGTACTGCTCTGTTGCAGGTAACAGAATAGTGTTGAAAGAATATAAGGTACTGGTGAATATTTCAGGCAATTTATAGGGTTTCTTATAGCCTGTAATAAACTTCAGGGTGCATTGTGGCATTCCCTTAAAGAGAGGGGGGAGAAACCCACCCTTATAGTACCACTGGCTTTAAGATTAACTTCTCTGTTCTGACAATGCTGCTGAAGTGTGTACCACTGAGCATCTTGCTGCATGTGCTTTGCTGTAGTACTTCCTGAATCTAAATAGCTCCTCTCTTTGAAATTTCAGGAAGATGTTTGTTGGTGGCCTCAGTTGGGATACAAGCAAAAAAGACTTGAAAGATTACTTCACCAAATTCGGTGAGGTAACTGACTGCACGATAAAGATGGACCCAAACACAGGAAGATCCAGAGGCTTTGGATTTATTCTCTTCAAAGAACCTGGGAGTGTTGAAAAGGTGAATTTTTAGCTCCATATTTCAGATCCCTGACCTCTGGGGGAAACTTCAGCTTGGGTTAATCACATCAAACTGTCTTTCAGGTTCTGGAACAGAAAGAACACAGACTAGATGGACGACTAATTGATCCCAAGAAGGCCATGGCAATGAAAAAGGATCCAGTGAAGAAAATATTTGTTGGTGGACTAAACCCAGAAGCCACAGAAGAGAAAATCAGGGAATACTTTGGAGAGTTTGGAGAGGTGTGTAATGTTACTGTAGGAAACTCTGAAACATAGTCTTCAGCTGTTGTTTATTTTACTGATAATTTGTAAGTTTCAAAGTAAGTTAACTTCAGATGTATCAAGCCTTCTGTAACTGATCCAGAGGTTTCCCATCTTGACAGCAAAGGCAGCACATACTGCACTAGATGCTTCCATTATTAGTTAGCTACCCTTGTCTTAAAGTATTTGAGCTGATGTTAAAATTGGTTTGAAGAGTTGTAAAACGCAAATCTCTGGTCTGAAAGTCAATGTTAGCATAGAAAGACTGTTGCAACTTTGGTGTTGCATAATATGCATAGAGAGGAAACTTCCTCACAGTTTTACTGTCCCAGTTCTGTGCATTTAACTGTTCTGCTAAAATAAGAGTCTGAAAATAGTATTTCATATCTTCAGATTGAAGCAATTGAACTTCCAATGGATCCAAAGACCAACAAAAGGAGGGGGTTTGTGTTCATCACTTTCAAGGAAGAGGATCCAGTGAAGAAAGTTTTGGAGAAGAAATTCCATAACGTCAGTGGAAGCAAGGTAGAAACTTCGAGTGGTAACTTTGTTTGAGTTACTAAACACAATACCACTACATCTATAGTCCAGTGAGGTTTTTGTAGATGTCTTGTGTCAAGGTACCAAATTTACAATAGGGACAGCTTGCAGTTTGCCATACTGGTGTTTTGCCCAGAGACTGCCAAGGTTCTTTGCCAATATCTGTGGCTTTAATAATTGCTGTGTTTTGGAGCCTTTTAGATGTAAAGTATCTAGTTTCATTAATTAAATACCTGTGGAGAAACTGGCTTGTTTATATATCAGTGTAGCAGTGTAAGCCATTTCAACACATAGTCACCTGTTTTCAGCATAGAGCACTTGGAGAAATGCAACTAGCTTTGTAAGCAGTTGCCTGAAACTGTCTCTGTCTGGTGGGGGACAGCTTCTGGTTTCTTTCAGAAACCCCTTCCTGCAGGCCCCCTGCTACCAAGCCTTTTCATGTACACCCAGTAGAAGGATCCAGAGAGTAAATGTAAACTTATGGCAACTTTGACTTGGTCAGCTGGTTATGGGAACTGTAAGAGTGATGTGAGGTGCTCGGAACTGCTGACTGCTCATCTGAGGGAATAGCTAATAGAAAGAGGCTCATGTGTCAAGCTAATGAGGAGAGGACTGGAGGCAAATGATGTGTACTGGCTTCCCTTGCTCCAAGACCAGTGCTGACTGTACACAACTTGGAAGCCCTCTTAGAGCAGGTCATGCTGTCTGACACAGTGACTTAGATTGCACTTGGTGTAAGACTGGTCTTGACACAGCACGGAATAAACTTTGGTAAACCTAATGCACTGGACAAGTTACTGGTTAGCAGTGAAGCTTGTCTTCAGGGGAGATGAATTCTTACATGCCAGGGAGCTGAGAAATCATTTCTGTATCTAACTATGGCTTGTTTCTGTGTGATAACAATAATAAAAATCGGGTTACCATAGGGGTCCTGTGGTGAAGAACTCCAAGGCAGATTTGCTCAGGTGCTGCTGTTCCTTTTGCAGCAGCAGTAGTTTACATCTTGGACTGTGCACAGATTCAAGAACCAGGCAGCTGGCTGACAGCTTGAACTGCAGCCTGGGAACCTGTCTTGGAAATGTCACTTCTGGTTGGTTTTAGCGGTTACTATTTGATGAATGATTATTTAGCTGTTGGTAGGTGTGTGCTGTGCAGTCCAACCACATGCTCAATGTGGAGGGTGTACAAAAAACTGCCAGGAAAACTCATTCTAGTGGGTATCTTGGAGCCTTACTCATTCAGTGCAGCTCAGGTGAAGCAGTCTGATAGCAGTTGTCTCAGAGGTTATACCAGGTGAGAACACAGCCTCCTGACTCCTACAGGAGCAGTGGCTATGCTGAGGTGGCCTCAGCACCTCTTCCATGGGGAAATCGATCGTAAGGAATAGACAGGATAAAATGCCCTGAGGGCAGTGAGTGGTGACTTACCTTTGCCCAGAGAGCACAATATCTCATGTGCTTCTGGATATGCATTGGGCCTGCTCACCTGGCAGGAGCACAGCACATACACCTCCTTTGCCTCCAGAGGAACCTCTGGCTTTCCCAGCTGGTCAGGTCAGGTGCTGCTGCCCTAGGACAGTTCACATACTGTGTTTTTTATTTTCAGTGCGAGATTAAGGTAGCACAGCCAAAAGAAGTTTACCAGCAGCAACAGTTCAGCAGTGGCGGAGGAAGAGGTAGCTATGGAGGAAGAGGCAGAGGTGGAAGAGGCGGTGGTAAGTACCACACACACTACTTTAGTATGGACACATTCTAAATAAGTTGTGTGTACTAAAATGGGATTTTGTGGATGGTTTTCCCTTCTATAGCTCAAAGTCAAAATTGGAATCAAGGTTATGGCAATTACTGGAACCAGGGTTATGGGAATCAAGGATACGGCTATCAGCAAGGTTATGGTGGCTATGGAGGCTATGATTATTCAGGATATGGGTATTATGGATATGGACCAGGCTATGATTACAGTAAGTAAAGAGAACTGTATTGGGTATAAGCAAACGTAACTAATTAGCAGTTTAATGCATTTGTTCTCTTGTTCATAGGTCAAGGCAGTGCAAATTATGGGAAGACACCAAGACGTGGTGGTCATCAGAATAACTACAAGCCATATTGATCAAACTTATTCAGGTATGCAGTGGCATGGTCTCTTTTGGAAAATGACTGCATAGGTTTTGTATACAATGCTGTAGATGGATACTTCAGTTCTGTACCAAATTTAACTTTACAATAAATTTCTATGGCCTGTTAAATGTGCATCTTACTTGGAAGAGCTCCCTGGAAATGTTTTACATGTTTAATACTTACAGATAACTAGTTGTCTAGACAGTGTGGTGTGTAAATTTCAGCCTTGCTGAAGATATTAATTAATGATTTTATTAATAGGTTAAACTGAAACTGATTTTGAGGGTCTGCTTAAAGCTGCAGCTCTGCATCTAGGGACTGCCTCTTGGAGTTAACTATGGACTCTGCATTACTCCAGTTGTACAGAATGAGATGCATCTTAGGGAACCAGTGGCACTTTCCACCTTTTTATTTTGTATTGTTTTTGTGTCATACATTTCCTGTAATGGAAGTGTTAATTTTACTGTACTTTTTGGTACCTTTTTGGAATCTAATGTATTGTAAGGTATTTTACATGTGTTCTGAATCACCATGACATGGATATTGAAGCTATCCTAGCTTTTGAAATAAAAAAGGCGTAATCTAGTGTCTCGTGCCATTCTTCAGCTTATGTACTAGTACAATGCCAGTATCCTGTTCCCAGAACTTAGTTCATGGCAGTACCTTGATAGATGAAGAGTTGTGCTTAAATGTTTTTAATCTGATAACTAGAAGGCTGTGTTGGTAGTTGTGCTCACTTGTAGTTAAGTGGCAGCTAAAACCTGCAGTCACTTCTGCCTGGAGGTGTTGTGGAGGAGAGCTCAGGTGAGCAGGTGAGAAGCCCCAGCTGTTGTGGGGGCTGTGCTGGTTGAACTGGTGGCTCATGCTCTAGGCAAGCACCAGAGGCTCAGTGTAACTGTAGCGGTGTTGGCATTGGGCTCTCCTAGGAAGAGGCAGAGATGTAGGTTTCAGGAAGGGCTTGGGAGTCAGCACTGCAGGAGGAAGCCAAGAGGTGTGCAAGAATCTGGCTGCACTTCCTTCATGTTTCACTGTCTGAGTCTGAGACTTGTCTACAAGTTGTTAATAGTATGTATATACCTGCCTTGAAAGGCAGGTTGGACAGACATTAAATTACCAATGCAAAGTCTGAATTTTTGCAGCCTTTTGTCTATCAAAAAAAAGTCTAAAAGAGCTTCCACTACAGTTGTGGGTGGAGAAAAACCATCTCTTTCTCTAGAGATGAGTGACCAGCTAGAAATAGGTTCTCCTTTTTTGACTACTACTCTTTTAAGGCAATAACTGTAATGTGATTTGCCTGTCTTGTTGCAGATTGTGCAGCAGAGGTTGCTACTTATGTATAAATCCAAGATTGGGACAAAGTCCAGCTTCTGATTTTTGTTGCAGTGATCAGTTTGATTTTTATTTACCTTTTAAGGCTAAAATCTGACAATTCTTTCTTGTAAAAAAAATTCTCTTGAACAAGTAACACCCAGAATTGGAGTCAAACAAAGTCACTAAGACAAGAAATAAACAGATGTTATTAGTGATCTTTTCAGTTTTTTATCAAGGGATGCAGCTGTTTCTGCAGGGACTATAATCTGCTGCTCCCTGCTGGCTGTCCTTGAAAAGGAAGACTTGTACAGTTAGACGTCTGTAAGACTCTTCTGGGGTTCAGTGGAAATCTTGAGTTTTAAAAAATCAGATTTAAAATCTGATAGCTGACAACTTTACAGCTGAAGCATGTAACTTCAGACCTAAATGAATTACCTGCAAATAAAAATATTGCAGACCCCTGAAACAAATGAGTACAGTATTTAAAAGTACTACTGTCTCAAGGTTTAATATTCAAATGCTTTATTGCATGCTGTTTCTCCTGTGAAATAAGGGGTGGCAGAATATTTTCTGGCAAACACTTGGCCCTCCAGTGGGAAATTTATGTATGGTACCAGGACCATACTGCTGCAGTCTCGTGTACTAGCAAGTTTGTGAGCTGGATGTTACTTAGGTGGGTTTTTGGAAGCAGGATTTCAGGTCATTCTTCTTGACGTATGATGTGGCCCTAAGGCAGAAACTGAGGATACTGGTACTTAAATCCAGAGCTGGCTTGCCCTTTGTTTGTGTGAAAAGTTGGTGATGTACTTGCATGGTGAAAGCAAAGGCTTGTGCACAAGGTTGTTGCTTATGGCTGTAATCTACTCTTACCTTACTAATCCTACTTGGCTATTAATTGAGGACAGACTGTAAGAAGGGGTTTGGGAGCCACAGCCCTCAGCTGTCTGTTCCTCATGCATTTAATGTTAGAAATTTGGAACTGATGTTTTTGACTTCATCTGGTTGCTGAGATTGTTTGTTGAATATAGTGCTACTAGGGACCTTGTTATGACACTGGTGGCTGAAACTGGTCAGAGGAGCCTGGGAAGGATGGGATGCTGCACTGGAGGCTGGAATGGTGTTTGCATTGGTAGCTGGAGATTGTTAAAACATTGAGAGAACTCACTGGTTCTGGTTCATCTTAATTTGAAAAAGTCATAACCTGAAAGAGCATGAATTTAGAAAAATGTGGTTTATAGTAGCTGCTAGAAAGGTACTCCTTTATAATCAGTTTTAGATATGCTGTTTTAAATAAACAATTCCACACTGCCAGAGTCAGGACAAGCTCTTTATTTCTCTTAAAGCTTTTACTAAAAACAAGATAACAGAAAAGAACAAAATGAAAGGTGACTTATCTGATCTAAGACATTCTAGGATAAAGATTAAATGTGCATTATTATAGTAGAATAATGTTTCTTAGTAGTAGATCTTGAACATTGTTTGAAACCTATGGAAAGAAAATAATGTTTTGGTTTTTTTTGTAAAAGTATAATTAAAAGAAGTCTTCATTGCCTCATTTTCACTTACATTACATGTAAGTGTCTTACTAGTACTGTACTTAGTAAGAGGCTTTTTGCATTCATGGTTTCCTGTAGAAAATAAAGGCATTTTTCTTGCTTAGTTTAGATTACAGACAAGCACATTAAGTCATTAGGCCTCTAAGTTACACTGGCACTGTTAAGTAATCTTTCTGTTCTAAGAATAAGTAGTATAAACAGCTGTATGTCTTTCCATTAACTTGCTAAATAAAATATTAACACATTTTTCTTGTGCCTGCTATACTAATATTACACTGAAGTAAAAGCACATTTCTCCTTAGCTCAGGGCCATAGCACTGTCCATCTCATGGTGTCTGAGGCCACCACTGATTACAATGGTCACATTAGATACATTCCTGCCCAGCTGTCTTAAGAGTTTTACTAAACACTGTTGTCTTTTAGTCAGTAGGTTGAAACCAGAGGGTGTTATCTAGGTATACACTGTGCTCATGAATGTGTGGCAGACAGTTGCAGGCAGATGTTGTCTCTTAGCAACCTGTGGAGGGACCTCAACAGATCAACAGTAACAAGGCTTTAAAGACTTAACAACAAACTTGCCCACAAACTTCTGAGTATAAGGGTAAATTGATGCTTAAGCATGAGATACCAGCCATGAACCTGAAATGATCCTAGAGAGTCGTCAAAAACGCTCCAGAGGACAGAAGGCAATGCTATTTCCGAGTCAGATGTTAAATAAAACACAAAAGCACTACTTAGATATCTTCATAAAGCTGTTAGCATACGTGGAGGTTCCGAAATTGTGGCATGCAGAATGTACAGGGCTCCTGCCCTGACAGGCAGCTAAGGGGGAGATTTGCTGAGAAGTAGTTATGCAGCTGGACCAGCTCCTGTCTGGAGACTTAAGGCACCAAGCAGCTAGCATAAAAGCTGTGTTTTTGTGTTGATGTGCATGGCATTTGCATGCTAAGGGTTAAACCCGGTCACTTTTAAAGCTTCCCAGACAAGCAGAGCATGCTCTAGTGGTAGTCATGTCTGGGACATGCTTACAAACAGGTGAGTGCACAGTCACTGGGAGTGTCAGACTCAGAGAAGGTAGCTGTGAATGTCAGATGTACACAAGTCTGGTCTCTGCTTCTGCAAACTAGCTTGGAGTAAAAGCCTCTCTAAGGAAGCTCTATTTGACAATGTTTGTGAAGTTATGTTTGGCTTTTGAATAGTACTGGGTGAGTAGAGATAGGTAAGTACCTGCTCAGGTAGAACAAGTAGATGTTTTCTATTGGTTCAGACATCTTTTTCCATATCTGGAGAGAGAATAAGCAACAACACTTTGCACTATGTTAATGCGAGGTGTGTAAAAGTGGTATAAAAAGCTAAGTGGCAAATACACACAGATCATAGCTTCTAGGAGTATTAGGACAGCTTTTACCAGCTGCCTTTGTTCAGATAGGTGAACAATTGAACCTCAGCCACAGCACAACAGTTTTAAAAAACATGCATCTGCAGAGGAAATAGTTTTGTTAGAAAACCTCAAAACAATCATTTAGAAGGGAAGTCTCTGTGCTCAGCATATACCATCTTGGCTCTATTTTAGCACTGAAAAGCAGGCTCAGTACCTCAGCATTGACTTGGAGGCAATTCACCCACTCTCTTTTTGAGGATTTAGATTAGCTCTACCTGTTAGTATCTTGTCCATTGTGTCCACAACAAATCTTGCATCCTCTGTATTGAAGCACATTGGGGGCTTGAATTTCAGCACATTTTTTCCTGGCCCATCTGTGCTCAGTAGAATATATTCTTCCTTAAGTCTGGAAAGAGCAATAACAAAGAATTAGGCTTACCTTTGTAGTTAGAAGAACTTGCAGGCTGTGCACACAGTGCCCTTCTGCCCTGGCTGGATTTTAACAGCTACTGCATGGCAAGCTTAGTTTGTAATTGTGTGCTTGCCCCCTACACACAGGTGAAGTCCATGATTGTCCCCTGTACCTTGTTATTAGATACTCTGCTGCTGCTGTGGCTGGAGTCCTTTCTGCCTGGTCCTTGATTAAGTCCACTCCAATGAATAAGCCACAACCTCTATAAAAGAAATAAAAATAGTCAACCTGTGTCAGAGGATGGGAAATGCAAGTGAACTAAAAACCAGAAAGGTTTTAGTAACACCAAATCTTTACTGCCTGAGAATTACTGTTTGGCTACTGATGGAAAAGGTTTTGCTGTTTTGAAGAAATGTAGTAATACATTACAGGACTTCTGTCTGCTGAGAAAGCCAGTGCAGGACAGGATGTTAAGCATGTTTTCCATCACTTCTGTACTTTGTGCACTTGAAGTAAGAGTTCAAACAGGCAAGTGAAGTCCTTTAGCAGCTAATAAATTGATAAAGCAGTACTGGCCGGGGGTGGCAGAGTGTATGAGACTGCTGATAAGCTCAAGTTTGTTTTAATCTAATGTGCAGCAGGCTGTTTATTTTTGCTGAAAACACAAATTTAATGAATTTCTCAAAAAAACATCTATTGGATTGAATTGCCTGAACCAAACAAGAAGTAGTTAAAAATATAAATAAAGCACTGGTACCTGACATCACCAATGATGGGATGCTTGATTTGCTGCTCCTTGAGTAGCTTCATCAAGAAGTTGCCTACCTCTGTGGCACGAGCCTGAAGCTGTTCCTTCTCAATCACATCTAACACAGCTAATCCAATTGCACATGAAACAGGATTTCCACCAAACTGAGCCCAGGAAA